AATATTATGAAAAGTAATTTATCTAAATCTAGTTTAATATAGAACATCAATGAGCTGCTAATATTTGTTAAAGTGATTGACAACACATTTAAGATTGATTTAAATGAACCACAAAAACTTCAGAGTGGAATTTATTGCATGCACAAAACATTGGATGCGCCTATTTAAGATTAATTTATATCTAAAACTGGTTCATGGTTGCATATCAATGAACTAGTTCGACAACAACTTGAAAGTGGTTCGCAGAGAAAATGTTAACTAATTGCCCCGTTGGCCGATTAAATATCGATTTAATTGCTTCAATTTATATAAATCTGTACTTATAAAAGGAGTAAAGGGTGTGTACATACATGCTTAATGGCTATTAAAGAGTATTTGGCATTCGAATTTTATAAAATTTAGTTTAATTTTTTTGCTCTTTTCACCAGAGCTGAAAACTGGGCACCTGGCATCTAGGCTTTGCCTTAGACGGCAAACAAGCTATGAGGGGCAACAACAACAACTGTTACGAGTGACACTTGTACTCTAGTAAGTGTGTGTGTGTGTGTGTGTGTGTGTGTGTGTGTGTGTGTGTGTATGGTTGTGTGTGCATTATTTAGTTTCCGTGGCATATTCGAAGAAAGAAAAAAGAGCCCAATACTTTGCTGCTTGCGTTTGCTCACTTGTATTTTGTATACATTTGTTATTTTTGCTGTTGTTGTTGTATTTGCAATTGTTGTTATTGCATTGAATATTTGTTGTTCAATTTTATTGCAAAACTAAAGCATGCGGACTTTGCTGCTTCGTTTGTGAATGCACAGGGATAATCAAAGGGATTTGCGCAGCATGCACACGAAATGATGTCCTGTTGGTGTGCGCACACGTGTGAGTGTTTATAGATGTGTGTGCTTGTGTAGCTAACAATGTGCACCAGCTCTAAATCTCACACACACACACACACATATATATACACACACATGCATGCAATAACATATCTTTATATTTGCCCTATACCTGTCATAAATATTTAAGTTCCATTTAAGAACGTTGCCTTAGAAATTTCACACGGCGTTTCCCATTAAACTAAATATACACAAATGACGCCCAAGGCAAACTCGAACTTACCGCCCGTTCAATAAAAATATCCAATTAATCTAAAAGAAATAAAAAATTAAAAGCTGTTTTTAAAATTGACGAGATAAGATGTGTACGCCGAAGATTTAATGCCCTTGTAGACATTTGCCGGACGATTTTGCAAATATGTGAGAATATTGAAGCTCGTAAATGCTGAGTATGATGAAAACATATTGCCAGACAGAATATTGCGCCATATATAATATAGCAGTGCGATATATAATATATGATATGGCTCTTAGTAAAATAATATGATATCTTTTATATTAAAAGAGTTTTCTTTAATAGAACTTATTTTTTGGCAAGGTTGAGTTGTGATTTTGGTCGAGATATCTTGATAAATTAAAAATTTTGTTCATTGTTCATTTATTCATGGCTATATGATATAGTGTTCTGATCTAGCCGATAGCTTGAAAGACTGAAAGACTAGTTCGCATAGCAACAGACAGTCGGACAAGTGGGCAACTCGGTTGTTGATACTGATCTAGAATATCTCTTTGGGGTTTGGAGATGTCTGAGAAGTAGAATAGCTTCTCCCAGGGTATAAAGTGTTATACAAACAGATGATATGAGACAATCAAGCTAGTTTCTTTCCTGTCCTGACTGACTGATTGTTGATCAATGAGTAATAATAAGCTGCGAGGGCAACGAATATACAACTTTAGCTGTCCCTAGTTAGTTTGTTTGGTATTTGTACAAGGTAAGACGGAACTTTAAATATTCATACCACAATTGTTGCAATTTGGTTGCATGTGTAATGCACCGTTTTTTGCTTACCATCCGATCGGCCGCAAACTTATTTATGGCTCTTAAGCTCTTTCACACAATTCGGAAAATCCTGCCCTATTAGTTGGGGAATGTGGGTTAAATGCCGCATGAGTTAGGTTTCGGTTAAATCCGATCGGATTCAAACTTATTTTCAAAGCTCTGCGTTTGGCATTTCATTTTTTATATCGCTATTGAAAAGCATTTTAAACGAAAAATCTGACCCGCGGGTTAGAAATGGGGTTAAGCCCTGTAGAACTGGGAAAAGGGAAAGAATACCATTTGTATGAAATAATATCTGGTAGCTTTATGTTCTGACTATACCATCAATATGCACAGAATGTTGTTTAAATCCACGTCAATAACAAGGCGCTTTCTTATACCTCACAAGCTGCTATTGGCCATTTGCTAATATAAATTTTATTGCCGTTTAGAGCAGGGTGGGGATTAAAAAATAAAGATTTTACCGGTATGAGGGTGTGTATGTGTGTGTGTGTGTGTGTGTGTGTGTGTGTGTGTCTAATTGTTGTAAACTTTTGCATTGTGTGCATTGATTCAATATTTATTTGATATTTTGGGCTATTTTTCGCATTGTGTTTCGTGTGCCTTGCTTTTGCAGTTAGCTAGAAAAAGTTTATTTTGCCTTCGACATGTCGCTCGTGTGTTCTTTAATTACTCTCAAAACTGTAAATGTGTATGTTTGTCAAATAAAATGTTGTTCAAACATTCTGCTTATTTTCAATATTATTTTAATGATATATTTCATTACAATAGATCGACGGTTGCATTATTAAAGGCACCATTGACTTGACTTTTCACAAGCCCGCTAACTGCAGGGCAGGGAAAGTATTTTGAATTTATCATTGTCTTTGTCATGACAAGTTTAATGTGAATAACATAAGTATATTAGGCAAGGAGAATTGTCTCATGACCTCTAAATGCGTTGGCTTATGGCAAGTTGCATTTAGAAATTTATATTATTTGAATATCAAACTTTATTTTTCCTTAGAAATTGCAGAAGTAAATCTACAGAACTTTTGTAGTTTAGATTTAATATTATCTCTACAATCTATGATTTGATTTTTGTGGGACTTTTAGATACTAGATATTTTATTACAATTATAACTAAATAATTGGCAATTATCGAAATTGCCTCTGGGCTTAATATTTGTGTGTGAGAGCAGCAAAAGAGGATTTGAAAGATTCCACCCAAAATAATGCATTGGTGGAATACAAAATGCATGCAAAATACCCTTACCTAGGGTATTTTCGTTTGGCCAGAAATTATGCTAAGTATTAAAGAAACCATTTTCGACACCAACAAGTGTGTGTTTTTTTATATATTCATGCGGAGTATCAGCTTAGTCGATATATCTCACATCTATGTCAGCATGTCCAATCTCAATGTCTAACTATCTCAAATTTAACATAACGAAACTTATATATATATAAGTAGACAGATAGCAGATAGATAATTGATTGAAGAAGAGTATCTAAGATTCGTTGCAGCGTAGACAAATGTTCTGGTTGGCCGTGCCAATGATTTTACATATTGTTAAAAGCGGGCGCACGCTGCGTATGAGCAACCTGTAAAATGCATTTGATTATTATGCATGTTAAATATGCACTTTACTATTTATTGTTGTTGTTTTTATTGCTGCTGCTATTGCTGCTGCTGCTGCTATTGCTGCTGTTGCAACTTAAGTGCATAAATAAACACATTTTAATTAAATTAAAATAAAATGCATATCGCATGCATTTATTCTCGATGTCCACATCCGACAGACCGACATCCGACGATGAGCTGAATGCCATTTTACAATGCATAAATTTATGTCATGTGCGTTGCCTACTTTAAGGCTGCCTAGCGCCTACCCTTCTCCAACTTGCCATGGCTTTAGTTTTCAAATCGAATTAGACCCAGGGGCCGAATTGTGCAACATTTTCGATTTCGATGGCATGGAAAGTGCAGCGCTTAGGGACAAGTTGAACTCATTTACTCGTTTCGTGGCCTTCACTATAGTTTGAGTTCGGATCAGGTTCTCCCAAGTGGATGCCAGCCAGTTGCCAGTTGCCAGCTGCATTAAGTCCAACTAATAAGCGTGTCTGTGCCCACTGCCGCTGCTGCTGAGCTTGCTGTTCAGCTGCCCTTCAACAGCCGCAGCTTTAATCAACCAATCGAACAGACCTGATTAATTCAAAGGCAAATACACATATCACAAATTATCGCAACACATAGACTCACATACCAAAGCAAGATGGGAATTTCACGCACACACATGCATATCCCCAGAGCAACGTTCACCCCCAGCACTTTCAAAGGAGAGCTCAACTAATAAGTAGGCATTCATGTGGCGGCTTTAGTTCAAAACTACGCCAGCTTTTACTCACTCTCAAGTCCTAAGTAGGACCAAGCAGGAACTACTAAAACTAACTGTGTTACGAGCATTATTTACATGTGAGACACAATTATTGCGTTCATTTGCATAATGAGGTGTTTTCTAGTTTAATTAGACATTTGCATTTAATTTTTGGATATTGTTTTGAGAACTTATACCATGCTCTACTCATGGGCGGACTAGCTATATATTAAACAAATTTTCTAATTCAAGACTTTGTTTTAGATCAAATAGATGTCAGCATTAACAGCTAAATTGATGAGACCAAGCCCGTCCGTTTGAACGCATCAATCATAGACACTATAAAAACTAGACATTTGAGATTTGAATAGTAAGTCCCGAACAGATCAAGTTTGTCTCAAATCGATCATGATTAAGAGAGTGTACAGGGATGTATGTATTAAATCCCACTCAGTTCAGTTCCTCTAAATTACAAAACAAAAATAGCTTTTGAGGTGCAGCTCTGGGCTTGAGTACAGGGTAACTCCTAGTCGTCCACTGCCAACGTAATTGCTTCTAATTAAGCATTTTCATTAGCAATTTAGATAGGTTTTCCCTGAATATTTTTGCTTTAATTTCAACATTATTTAACAAAATTCTTAAATTTTCCAAAAAAAATCTCAATTCGTATTTGTAGTCAATTAACTAAGAAACGTAAAACACATGAAATACGCATAGTTTAAAAATTCTTTGCTGGTTTTTGAATGTAGTTTTTCAACATACCTGTTAGGTGGAAAATCGAACGCACCGCATTCAATGCGTTTAAAAGTTTTTCAATGAGATATCGTTGGATTTTAGCTACCCTGACTTGTTTATATACTCCGCGATCCCGGCAATTTTTAATTATATTTTTTATTTAGTTGAATATCACACACAAACACTCAACACTTAGCGGTGGCCAATGGAAATATCAAAGGATTTTTTTCTATTTATTATAATTAATTTATATATATATATATTTTTTTGTAATTTTTTTTCGGGTATGCCACACAACTAATAAGTTTAAAACAAAAAAAAAAAAAACAATAAAAAAAAATTAAATGCTCAGCACAAAAAAAAAAAAACAATACAATCCTTAGCATTCACGACGCTACTTTCAGTATGAAGGGCGGGCGGGGGTCTGGCGTAATGGCAATCACAACAAACAAGAAACACGCGGTACGCGGTCGTAAAGTCGGTAACCGGATACAAACTGCCGGGGAAAAAAAAACACAATTTCAGACTAGGAAGCTATACACGTTGGGAGCGGAACGCAGTTCACGACGATATCGTCGCTGCCCGGCTCATTGGGTCACTGAAGCAGCCAGTTGCACTGCCAGTTGGTTGGACCTACAATTCGATGATAGACAGACACACACAGACACGGACGCACACACGGGTAGACACGGGCACGCACACTCACGCGGGAGACGACACGTTGCCCGCTGCAAATACCGATACTGACTGCATTCGCCAATGTTTTGGCTAGCGAATTTAAGACGCACACACGCACCGCATTTTGCCGAGCAGCAGGACGCAGCAGGACGAGCGTCGGAACACGACCAACGACAACGCGAAACGACGACAATGGACGAACAACGGCCGACAGCTGTTTGCCCCAATGCCGTGCAACATCGTGGCGTTGCGCTGCGCATGACCCGTGAGCATTGTGTGGCAGCTGCCGAGCTGCAAGCAGCACGAAGACGCGACGGCCAACAAGCCACAAAATTGGCGCGCAATTTCAATTAGTTGATGTCCTGTCGCCTGTCGTCTGACGGTCTCTCGTCTTGTTTCGTCGCTCATCGTCTCGGTATCGGCTGGGCATCAATTTCTTAACACCAGTCGCCGGTAGCTGCTCACTTTTTCCCGCCCACCGCCGTCGCTTCACCATCGGCCTTGCCCCTTCATTAGTTCGATGTTGAAGTTCATGGACTGACGCTCTGTTTAATTTGGCGTTCAAAGTGCCCACGTCCGGTCACTCTTCTGGGACCAACAAAAAAAAGCACGAAAATCTGATCACAGGCCGACACTTGATGTACTCCCAAAGTGCTGTTGTCCGAGACGACTCTTCAAACTGTTCGCTACTCGGATGCAGCAAGTGTTCACAACATTCACAGATCTGTTTAACGACGGGCATATTGGCTATTTATCTGAAAAAGAAAGTTACTTGGTCAATTCAGTTTCGTTACGGAATGAAAATATGTCAAACTTTAAGTGTATAAGAACTGACAAAGATTTCAATTAAATTTAAAATTTAAAATTAAATTTTACGAAGTCCACATCCCCACGTGAAAAATTAGGGATTTATTGTACAGAAAACAGTTGAAATTACAAATTTCTTATTTTCACAGAAATAAGTTGAATTTCCGAAATCCACATTCCCACTTGAGGAAAAGAGATATTGCAATATTTCACCCATCAGACATAAAATCATTTTTAAATATTTATAAGAAAATGCATTTCGAAAAAATAAACAAAAAAAAGTTTTCCTAAAAAGTTTCCAGCTTCTAATGCTAAACTTATTTCAGCAAATGAAATTTAATATTTTTATTTGTCTTTTATTTAAACTACATTTCCAGACCAATAAAAACGCATTCGAAAGAAAAATCGGATCTTGAGAGTACTTTAAATATGTGTTTCTACAACATAACAATAAAAAAGTGTAATTTGTAAATGCTTAAAGATGAAAGCCTGCAGTACAGCGTTGACACGTTTTTAGTTCTGGTCGACGTCAATGTTTGATTAAGAACCCAGCTACACATGCATAGATACTGTCGGCTGCATCCAATGCCGAGCTCGAATAATGAAAAATTGCGACTGATAGCGTTAGTTGTGTGGGCGCCAAAGAAGTCGCGAGTGGGTTAAAACAACAGACAAGCCGGCAGGCATTCGAGGGAACAACAACAAAGCGCGCCTACGATTGCCATTCAGCTGGAGTAGTTAGCTCTCGGTTGGGTCATTGACAAGCAACGAGGGGCCCGACGGGTACCGAGCATAGGGGCAAATCTAAGCTGAAACAAAGGACCCACTGTAACAACTACAATGAACTGCAAAAACACAAAAAGGCGAACAGCGCGCACAATGGAACGCTTCTCCATAGCCAAAGCAGCAGTGCCACGCCCGCGACCATACCATCACAATGAACCGCCTCCCACATGGTGTGAAATGTGGCATTAAAATAAAGGAACACTCTAATAAGGCTGCCTTTTGTTATCGATGCACAGAAGAAGAAAAAGAAAAAAAAAAATAGAAGAAAACAAAAAGGGAAAGAAAAAACTGTCGCAAGCGACTGCAGCCGTGGCACCTTTCAGGTTCAGGAGTAGCAGGCGGCGTTGGCCCCGTGAGGGCCAAGTGAAGAAGAGCGGAAAGAAGAAAAAAATTTGTAATTTCCGGCCAAATTGTGAACGAAGCTTTTTTAATATCAACTGACAGATGCGATGCATCAGGAAACTAGAAAATTACTGCAGGCATACACCCACCCACCCAGCCAGCCAGCCAGCCAGCAGGCATTTGCTAATGTCAGCGACTGGCACAGAACTGATTAGCATACCGTTTGGTTATCAATTATCAAGACAGAATTTAAATCAATTTCACGCAACGTAAAAAAGTATGCGATACATACAAAGCTTATGCTATGCCAAGGCTAGAGGCACAGTTTACAAGCGTGGGGCCAGCACACTTTTTTGGTGGTTCGGCTTACAGTTCCAGTCAATGGCTTAGCTTAAAATTCAGTTCGTTTCAGTTTTGAAGCAAATCTCGAATCACATGCAGTTTCTATACAAATCAAGTATCTTTTTAATTGTATGGCCATCGCCATATCAAATACATATATAAATCAATTGTAAATACTAGAGTATTTTTTTGAGAATATACGAATATTCTATAGCACAATAAAATCTACACCTGAAAATGTTATCAAGATCGGTTAAGAAACACAGAAGTTTTTAAAGAAATTCTGTGCAAGCCACGTGGCTGAGGGCGCATTTTTTGCATGGGCGCATGTGCACACATGCAAATACATACATGTACCCAAATAGAATTGCAATTGCGATTGTATTGTATGATGTGCTCTGTGTATGTGCTGCTATTTCAATTTAGTTTTCTTTTCATTAAAAACACATTCTTGGCATGGTTGTGAGGAGTAAGGTGATAGCGAGTAGTTGGAATGAACTTCGGAAGAGGCAACTTAATGTTGGCCGAGCAGCGTTTGGTGCTGATAGAAGAAGGTTAAAGGTAATCCCTAGTCGGGCCCTCCCGACTAGAACACTCTTACTCGTTTTTAAGGCAATAAGCTATCCCCTAAAAATACTGATTCAACTCAAGTTTGAGTCTGTTCTTTATCCAACAGAATGCGGCTTAAGATTAGGTGCACGGTAAATTAAAAACTGAAATGTATATATTTTAAAATTTCTTGATCCTTATGAAAAAGTTTTCTGTAGAAAAGTGCATACAATTTTTGATGCTTTTTAAATGAGTTCTTGCATGGATATTAGTTTGAGGCCTAGTCGATGACATGCAAGGCTGTGAACCTATTTAAAATTCCGTCTCAGAGCTCACATCAATTTCAGAGAGTAATGAAGAGCATTTGAGCATTAGCTAAAGTCAAAACATGACTCGTTGCAGCATAATTGGCCATTAAGCCACAGCAAGGTCTTATATACTTCATTAGTGATCGATATGTTATCGACAATGTTGCGTAAGCCAAATGCAATGAATTTGCAAGCAACAAAGCGAACATAGGCACAATGACAATTGGGGTGCCTAACAACCAAATTTCGGTTCTATGTTGGCTTATGACCACGCCCACCGCATTGACAATGCAAACAACGCATCACACACACACACACACACACACATTCGCGCGGGCACACCCACATAAGCTGAGGTATGCCAATATTTCAATAACATTGATGGAAACGCACGTTGATTAGGGCCCCACCTTTAGTCAGAAGAGTTATGGCAAGGGGGTGGGGAGGTAGTGTATAATCAAATGTTGAAGCAAAATGCAATTGACTTCGAATAAGACGTTTGATACGCAGTGTTAATGCGCTTACGCGTGTGTGGATAGGCGCGTGTATGCCATTGTGCGCGTCTGTGTGTGTGTTTGTGTGTGTGTGTGTGTGTGTGTGTAGTTAATGCATCTGGAAGCAGAAACACGCAAACGCACACACACATACGCACAGAAATCCTGAGGCATCGCCTGGAGTGAGACGCGCCTTGCGTATTTGTATGAATGCTCATAATACCCGCCTAATGCTAATAAACATTTATGTGTCTGTAGTTATAAGCTAGTTGGCATGTTGTGTGCCTGTGCGTGTGTGCCAATGTGTGAATGCGTGGATGTGTGTGTGTGTGTGTGGGATTTTCAAAAGTGGCATTCCAGAAAAGAGTTTCACCGAAATGCCAATCGATTCAGTTTAGTGCTTGGAACTGAATAAAAGGAATTAAGAACGAGAACTAAAAAAAAAATATAAAGAAAGGAGCTCCAAAGAACATGGAAGCTCTATAGAAACACATATTGAAAGTCAGAAGCCGAGAAAGAGATGAGAGGACAAAAACGGATAAAATAGTAAGAGAACAATTTATATGGCGAATAAAAAATGGACTACAAATGAACATTGAAGTAATTATGAAAAACCTATATTTTCTCGACTTTCTTTCAGGTAATTGCCATTCCATTAAATCCATTTTCTTGTTCTCGTGCTTGCAAAGGCCTCTATTCATCGCGATTTGCTAACGATAAGCTGAAGTTGAATTCTTTTGCTGATTTAAATGAAATGCTGAAACAAATATATTATACGGCCTTTTATTTTTTGTATGCAGCTGCACAGGCTGTGTGGTGTTTCAAATGCGAACAGAATAGCTAACGGAACGCTGGAATGAAACACGTTGTTTAAACGAGTCGCGTGCATTATAAGCAAATAAGGCACTTTACTTTATTTTACTT